CTCCTGAGCGACTAACTGCCTCTGAAAATCCGCTGGAGGGTCAGCTATGGGTTGGTTCCAAATCGGCAGTAAACAACAACATTAAAATTCCACATTTAAGAGATTAAACTGGAGAAATTAGTTAAAACCCAGTTTATTCAGTTCCCTATTACTAGAGCACTAAATAGAAGTTCTTACTAAAATAGATGCTTAAGAAATAGAAGGTACATCACTCAACATGTTAAAAAGAAATCCCACAAAGTTGATTGTTCAAAGCCTATCTTTAATGTAAAAGACTTCATGCAACTTTCATAGTTTCCAAATAAAGCCTAAGCCCTGGAAGAATCTGATCCAAACTATTTTTAATAAATACTGTGAATATGTATATACAAGGAGCCGACATTGCTCATGCCTCAATGCATAGAACTGTTAACTGTTAAATAAGGGAAAGTGAGAAATATTTAACTAAGCTACACAGTGAAATTTGAAAAACCAAGAACTCGATATTAAAAGGCAGTCATTCGTATAGCAAAAGAAGAATTGACATAAGTTTATGAGTGCAACAAATTCTCCGCCGTAAAGATTAACAGATTCAACTGGACAAAATAACTTCACTTTTATGAACAAATCCAGTCTTCATTTAAACTTGGAAAAATCAGAGGTGTTTTAAAATAATGTAAGTCAAGGTTATATTCCATAACCAAAGAAAACATACAACTCAAAAATCATAGAAAATCAGAATATTTTATCTCTTAAGGATCTAAGTTAACATGAGGCTAAAGGTAAGAGTTGCATTTCTCGTTACCAGCATTTTATTAAAGTATGAAAACTTCCAACAGACTAGAAAATATTGCATAATGATAGGGCAATCTCAAATTAATAATCATTCTGAATTGTATCCATTAGCTTTGTTATAGCATGATTTAATAGAGATAAAGTCAGCTGAATTTTCAAAGTTCAAACTCTTATTCCACAGAAGGAATAGGTATCTATTACTACTCCTATTTGATCCATCATGACTTTGAGAAAAGACTCTTTATATAAAGTCTATTATTTTCCATTTAACTGTTTTTTTCAGGCTCAGGCACATTTGACATACACAAAAGCAAACTTTTATTTCACAGGTCTAAATATTAATCCACTTGCATAATCTAAGCATAACATTCTACATATTATAAGAAGATATAAAATACATTCTATTACAAGCAGGATGGAAAAAATAGAGATACTTAGGTAAATACTTTAAAAATCGTAATAGGTTATTTTCTCCAAGAGCTTCATGCTACTAGTAGTTGACCAATGAGTCCAGGATTTCTTTCTTTGATTAAGGTATCAATAATGGTGGCTCCTTGTCTTAAACTCTCCTGTAGCTTGAGTTTATCCTGAAAGAAAAGAAGAGAGAAAAAAATTATTTTAAAAGAAAAGATGTTATAAATTTCATAAGGAGTCATTTTTCCAGGTACCCTTCTCTCTAGATGCTACATGATACAGAACTCAGACTGTAAATCCTAACATGTTTCCCCAATAACAGGGAAAATGTTTTTGCTATCACTTCTCATACAGGCAAATATATATACACACACACACACACACACACATACATACATTCATACTGGAGACACAAAAAGGTTAAAATAATTTAAAAAGTTAATATCACTAAACTAATGAGCATTAACCCAAATTCCAGGTTGGACTCTTATTAAAAAGTATATTTAATCAACAAAATGGGTTTGGTGTTTTGTTTTTGGTTGGGATTTTTTTCCTCCAATCTGTTTCTGAACATTTTCTTTTTTAAAAATTTTCAATTTTTTAGTATTTTCTTTTCTTTTTTTTTTGAGGAAGAGAAGGAATTTATTAGATGCTCATAACAGACTATGAATGGGTCAGGACAGACTGACCTTGGATATTTTCTAAAAATAGGCTGTGTATACTGCGTGAGCAAAAATTTTTTGTGAAATAAAGATCAGGCAAATTTGTGAAGTTAGTTATCTCATAAGTTATTAGAACATAATTTTGTCTTCTAAATCATGCTGTTGTTCGATGCTATTGAGTCAAGTATGACTCACAGCAACCCTATGAACAACTGATATGAACCTTACTCTATCCTGTGCCATCCATATCATCTCTGATAAACCCAAGCCAAGAATGGCATAGGATAGGGCCAAATCCAGATCTGTTGTAGGTAGAGTCACTATGAGTCCAAGGCAAATAAATAGCACTAAACTATGAATAACAACAGCATTAAAACAAGAAAAAGAGTGGTATGGTATCTTATCTCCAAACATTGACATCACCTGTAATACCTTTCCCTAATATTTAATGTCATTGTTGTAGTTATATATCATCAAGTCAGAACTGATTCATAGCTGACTCGCCAGGAGGTTGTCAAAGGCTATAAACCATATAAAGGGAGATTATCCATTTTTCTTCAGCGGAGTAGCTGGTAGATTTGAACCATGTGACTTTGGATTGGCACCACAATTCCTTATCACTAAGTCAGAGATTCTTCCAATATTTACTATACACTTAAGCCAGGCCCTTGTCTCCATTTTGGAGAATGGGAGATGTGACTGGACTGCTAGTAGGGTGCTCTTGTTCGGGTGAGGTTCCTGTGGAATGTTTAGTTCTTTATTAAATTTAAACCTCTTGTTTAAAGTCAACAAGACCTTCTGGAGGGCCCTGATTCAGGCCATAGCCTTTTAAATTACTTGCATCAGAAGTCTGGACAATGACTAGGGATGATAGAAGGAGAATTGATGCCTTTAGTTGTGGTGCTGGAGAAGAGTATTGAATATACCATGGACTGCTAGGAGAACAAACAGATTCATTCTAGAGAGAATGAAACCAGGCTGCTTGTTGGAGACAATGATACTGAAGCTTTGTTTTACATACTTTGGACATGTTGCAAGGAGGGACCAGTCCTTGGAGAGGGATGTCATGCTTGGGAGGATGGAGGGACAGTGCAAGAGAGGAAGACCCTCGATGATATGGATTGATTCAGTCACTAGGTTGGGAGTAGGTGTGTCAGAGACAATAAGCTCAGTATAGGATGGAGCAGGGTTTAGGGCTGTGGTATACAGAGTCACTATGAGTCGCAGGCAACTCGATGGCAGAAAACACCACCACCATCTGTAACTCATAATTCTGATTACTTTAACTTACATCCCAGGCTTCCTTTTACTTCAATACCATCATCTATAAAACACAAACTATAAAGACTTCATCATATATAAACCCACACAGAAAAACAAAAATTACTTAGCTGCAACATTTAAGAAAATCATAAGAATATTATTGCTCTAGGAAATAAAATCTTGCTTTTACATTAAAATTATTATCATCACTATCACCACTCGATTTATCCCTTCTTCATCATACAACTGAAGTTTTTCTAGATTTTTTCTAAAATGAACCTTGTCAAACAATTAAATAAAAATGAAAATTCTAATTGAAAATATAATACCTCTTTTTATCCTGAGTTAGAACTATCTTATGGCAAAAATATAAACCAACCTGAAAGAATAAAAGAGAGAGAAGAAACAAATACTCTAATGTAGCCAGATTTCTTAAAGTAATAAGAAGGAAAATGTTAATGTTATTTTGGGATGTTAACTTTATTGGAATTTTTATTCTCTTCTTTGAGATCTGATGTACATTCAAAATTTCCACAGTGAACATATTTTTATTTTAACAAGAAAAATAAGTTATTCTTAAATTTCGTTTCAAGATTGTTCAAGTTTAGAGGATTAAGTTTGATTTCTTATAATAAAATATTCAAATGTACCAGTAATGTAGAAATGTCATAACTTTCAGGGAACATTTGTTTCCATAAAAACATTTAAAACTTGTACAAAGAAAACATGTTTTGCTTGAATATTCTGGTTAACAATTAAGGTTCAAAAAAGAATCATGCTAATAATCTTAGCTCTCTGGTGACTTATATGTGGGGGGAAAAATCATGGAAGAAGTAAAAATAAAAGACCAGTATGGAATTTTTCCTCAAACTTATTCAGCATGCTTAATTCTGCATTAAGAAATTGAGAGCTGTCTTCTTAACCCCTGTCCTCAACTTGCTTTCTTTTTGCATTGTAGCTCAGGTAAATAGTTACTACCCAATTATTTATACAGTTTTTATTTTGTGACACTGGTTGTAATCCCTTTAAGGTTATGGCACTATTTCTTCTTTCTCCTTGGTTTCACCATATCCATTTGTCCTTTTAAGTCCCCTCTTACCTTCTGAACTTTATTTTGGAGCAAATATTGTTCTTTTGGTTTTGTATGATTGATTGTAGTGAGAAGCACATTTCTCCCTCTTGGTAGTATTCCCTTTCAAACTCCGTCTTCTATTTGCCTGAAACTTGATCCTAGAGATGGGCTCGTTTCTAGACTTGAATTCTGCCTAAAGGCCACAGTTTCAGGGGTTCCACTAATTATTCTTAGAACAATATACCTGGCCTTTTCATAGTTTGAATTTTGTTCTGCTTATTTTTATTCCCTCTCTGTCCTGGGTTTCTATTGTGACTTTGATCAGAGCAGTTGGCAGTGACTGCTGGTGTCAGGTGTCGTTCAGTTGACTACAATTCACCAATCCTATGGATAGCAAATCTGAGTCTCACCTGGCACACTCAGACACATTAGGACAGTCTCTATGTCAATCCTTCTTGTTGAACATCTACCATCTTTTTTTGAACCTCCATCTTTCCCAGTGTAATGTATTTTTCCAAAGGCTGGACCCTTGTGATAACATGCACAACATATATGAGATGAAGCCTGACCACACTTGCCCTAAGACGTGTCCTGATTGCACTCACCTTCAAGACACAATACTGAGTTCTTTTGGCCCACAACAGGATATTCACTATTCCTCTCCAACCCCATAGTCCAAAGTGTATTTTACTGTCTCACTTTCAGATGTGTAGGAAGCAACTGAAAATATTGTGACTTGGATGAGGCACACCTTGGTCTTTTTGTGAGACTCTTCTAATCTCCAGGTAGGTAGAGAGCTGTGGTTCAAGTGATTGATTAGCTCTTTAAAAGAATTGTCTCCCTAAGTCTTTTACTTTCTTTTTCTTTCTTACTCTTCTTCATTCCAGACAAGGAGAGATCAATAGTTGCATCCTTAGAAGCTTTTAAGACCACAGACACTTCACTCCTAAGTAGAATGCAGAACACTGTCTCTGTGGATCATGTTACGTCCATCGACCTAGTTGTCCCTCAACTGTGATCCCAACTCCCCAAGCCCATTGAGTCCTTCTCATAAGAGGTAATGAGTTAAAAGTTCTCATAACTTTGTTTAAAATATGGGTTATAACATTCTTGAATATATTTACTGCATATACAAACACATGTGCAGAAATATTTCCTGTCAATTATATGTGTATATATACACACACATATACATATACGTGTGTGTGTGTGTGTGTGTGTGTGTGTATATTTTCTCCTGAATGTACTTCCATTTACCTTTCCCCATCTGCTCAGCTCATATGTTTACTTATGTATCTACTCATAGACATTGTTTATTATTACTCTTCTTGGAAGACTGCATGGACAACTTTATTGCAGCTTCTTCTTTTTAAATTAGTATATCCAGTAATTTCCTTTGCCATTTCTCAAAGGCTGTGATGCCCTGCCCTTACAATTGTATATAGTCTTTCTCATCATCCTTGTTATGTACATACTTGTTATTCATTTCTTTTTCTTTCTATGCTCTGATAACCATCAAATAGTGTAAGGGATTTTTTGGATGTAAATCTTTTTTTAATTTTTTTTTTTAACTTTGATTTCCTGAAATATTTGAGAACTCAGCTTCTTAAAAGGTGAATTTAAGGAACATTAGGAAGATGGCTAATAATAACATAAAAGCAAATATTGTAGCCTCCAATGTGAGTTATACCTTAATATAAAGAAAGCAAAAATACCGATAGCTGGACCAATAAATGAAATTTTTTTAGTGGAGAAAAGATTGAAATTGTAAAAGATTACCACTTTGATCCACAATTAACACTAATGGAAATTATAGTCAAGAAATCAAATAACATAATCATTAGGAAAATCTGCTGACAAGGAATTCTTTAAAGTTCTAATGAGCAGTGATGTTGGATTAAAGATTAACTCAAACCGTAGTATTTTCAACTACTTCATATGGGTAGCTTGGTGGTAAGGAGCTGTGCTGCCAAGCGAAAAGCACACAGTTCAAATCTATTAGCTGTTCCAAGAGAGAAAGATGGGCAGTTTTCTCCCATGCAATTGAATGTCTCTGAAAAAGCTACTGAAGGGTCAGCTATGAGTTGATTCTGACTTGATGGTAGATAACAACAAAGAAGACCAATGAAGAATTGATGCCTTTGTATTGCGGTGCTGCTGAACAATATTAAATATA